CCATTTTCTACTACTTCATTGCAAAGTATCATGCATATGATTTTTAGATTAGAAGAGCAAGTGCTCAAAGAGGGATTTTCGTGGGTTACGCGTAATGGGAAAAAGGTCGAGGCTAGTGGGGAAAGAAGAAAGTGAAAGGGCTTGCGATGTAACAGATTTTGTTTTGTGGCCTCATCACTTAAGTTTAAAGCCTATGATGTTAGAAAATATTCCTATTTGCTGCAGGTACATTGTTTCTATCAAATGTGCAATTATAACTCCTAGTTAGTCATTCTTGAACTTTTTCAAGGCATTGTAGTTTTATGTTTTGGGCACCTGAAGCCTGATGATATGCAGACATGTTGCTTAGTTTGCTTACTATCAAAAATTTTCTGTGTACTGTATTACAACTAGAGGCTTATATAAGACTTACTTCCTTAATTTCATTGATTGCAGATGAGACAGGAGTGAAGGAGTTCTGAGGAGCCCTAATGGCACAATTAGAAACACCTAAGATGGTTTCTGCCCAATCATTGTCTTTAATATTAATCATTTCCTAATGGAATTTCAAATGTTTGGTGTGGATGGACTGCAAGGTTATTGGACTTTGTCTAGAAGTTGGAGGCTGCTTGTATTGAGAGAGTGGAGGCAGGAAAGATGACCAAGGATCTTGCCATTTTAGTTCATGGACCCATGTAATTTGCACGTGCCCGATATAATACAATTTCTCTGCATAATTTGTATGTTTTTTTGTGGAGTTTTCTTCTCCTAAAGTGTCTTTGGTATTTCCTGTTGGGTCACATAGTTTTCTTTGGTTTGAACATAGAGGGTTAGAGAATAACTAGGGTCAAGTTAGTTGAAAAACCAGTTCTTTACATTGCATAACGATCAGAATTCCTATTTGTTAGTGTTTAGATAGTTGGGACTTTTAACATATAAGAAGCATATTGTGAAACTTGCCCTCTATAGCCAAACAGTTGGAGTTTGAGACTTCTAAATTGGAGGTCTCATATTTAAATTTTTAAATAAGTAAGGAGGTTAAATCTTATAGTATGGTCACATTTAGAATTATCAAAGGATATATATATTGTGAGACTTGAAATTGGTATCCTTCTCTGTCACGTTGGACAGGTGAATGACTCTTTCATCAATAGAATATGAAACATAGCAAATGTTGCTAAAGAAGTTCCTTGGTAAGGCATAGAGTTAGTTGAACCAAAAGTAAGCTAAATTTGTTTATATTTACTTCAATTCTTTTGAAGCACGCAGGGTATCAATAGAAATTTACCTGAACACTGAAGAATTCATTGACGCTGTTGCACAAATTCTTGAGTCAAAGCTACAGGAACCAGCACTATGTGAGTAAATACTCTGTTTTCCTGTAAGATCTACATATCATCATATTGGAAAGTTTGAAAATTAGAAGAATCTTGTGAGGAGGCCCTTGTTTTAACCAGAGATTGCCAGGGGTATCAAATGCAATGGACTCATCAAGGAGTTCATAGATGGCAGAATGAGGCACACATAACCAATTACTGAACTTCAGGTGTATAATTGGAAGTGTTTTGTTTTCCCCAATAAGATTAAGATGAGAATTATGATTTAATTACCCTTGTTTTTATTTTCTATTACAATAAGAAACTTGTCATCATCGTATCCTCTGATGATGACAGTGCCTATTTTTTCTTGTTTGTGATTGACACATGGATCATAATCATATAAATATTTTTATTTCAATTCATTTTGGATTTTGACGTAAATTTCAAATATGATATATTTACAAAATATAATATAAATTTCATAAATTTAGTAGTCAAAACTAATTAATTTTTTATCTAATTTTTCGAGTCAAGTGACCTTTAACCACCTTAAAGTGCACCTCCCCTCTCCCTTGGATGGTTTCAAGCTGGTTTCATAACAACATCGTTCAAAAAAACTAATTAATTTCTTCATTATCTTTACAACACTATTATTTTTTTTTAGTAAACTAAATAATAAACAATACAATAAAAAATAAATTTTCCTCTTTTTTTTTTCTCTTTATCCCTCGTCACATATTTCAGAGGGAGATTTAAATTTTTATCCTCTTGTGGCAAAGGCTTTTGAACACAGTCATCCAACATTCAATTTAGATTCCAACTTTTTTTTTTTTTTTACAATCTTTTGGCCACCAGTAACAGACGACACACCTTTCAATTTATTAAACCGACACCGATTATGAATATTTTGACCAAAACGACTAAAACCGATTCGTTGGATTGAAACAGTGAATGGACATCTGATGTGTTCATTAAAAAGCCATGTGTCACCACGACATCCATTGTCCACAAAAATCAACGTCTCAGATCATATGCTCACTCCATCGCAACTTGGCCTGCACTCTCCTCCCTCTTAAAACGGCAGATTCCGGAGCCCCTCTCAACGCAAAACCGAAGAAGAAAATAATTCGAATCGAATTCTAGGCTGTGAATCGGAGAGATAGAGATGGCGTTGCCGAAGGCCAAGGAACTCGTTTCTTCCAATTCCGTTGTCGTGTTCAGGTACGTGATCGGAATGATTTCTGATCTCTGTTGCCGTATGCGTTTTACCTAATAGCCTTTGATTTTCTGATTTTGACGTTGCGATGCAGCAAGACGTCCTGTCCTTTTTGCGTGAGCGTGAAGAAGCTTTTGCAGGATCTTGGAGCCAATTTCAAGGTCGTCGAGCTTGATAATGAAAGTGAGATCTTCTTTTCTTTTCTTTTTTTTCTCTGCTTTTTTCGCGATTTTCTGTGTAGGTTATAGTATGTGATTTTCTGATTACAAATTCATTATAGCTCTTCAATATGAAGTTTAACGGATTTCTCTTTCCAGTGTCAGTATGATTATTAGAAGAGATCATTCAGTAAGTTATCCATTGAAAATTTTAAATAATTTGATGGAATAATTGATTATAAATTTTGGAATTACTTCTGGATTTTTTTTTTTTTTTTTTGGGCATGGAAACAAATTGTCACTGTATGCCTGATGTATTATTAAGAACTGTCCTGCTGGTGTGGCTTTAATTGGATGTTACTGGAAAAAAAAAAGTTTCAAATGCGATTAACTCGATATTTGCAAGCCTTTAGCAGTGCGATTTTGTTATCTCTTAGTGGTAAATGGAGTTGGTAAATTCAGATTTTTGGCTGAACTTGGATTAAGAAAAAAGCATTGAAGAAAAAGAAAAAACAAGTAGGAAGTGACAGTGAGTTTAAGGAAGTAAAATAACTAATAAAAAGGTGGCAGAACCAACTGAAGATCCAACTGAGCGTGGCTTTTGTCTGGAATCTGTTGAAGGGAGAATTCAGTTTCTTGATTGTTTTGCAGTGTTGAGGACTGTAATTGTCTGCGGCTACAATGAGTTTGGCAGTCCATGTTTTGAATGTTGATGTCAATATGTTTTCAGCAATGGATCACAAATTCCATATCTTGAGCCTAGGATTTAAAGATGACTGGTCTAGATTCTGTGAAAGAATGAAACAGTTTTCTTCCTT